GCATCCCCAACCTAGGTTTGATTCAACTCTGCTGTTCCTAGTTGTGGCTTTTGATGAGTTGCTTAGCTAACCTCTCTCAGCCTCATTTTCTAGTCTATAACATAGGGGTACTAAAACCTTCCTTTCTCCGAGAGTGGTTGCAAAAATGCAATCGCATAATGCATATAAAGTACCATTCGTATCCTTTTTTTTTTTTAATCTTTGGTGCTTGTTATGACTCACCTGCTAGAGATTATCCAGGTGCCAGGGTTAAAAGAAAATTGTGGCAAGGGCATATTAATGTAGGAACTCAGAAATGGCCAAGAGGGCTTATTGTGAAGCATTGCTTTGCTTGGACAAATGTGCTGGCAGGTGTGATTTTACATTGTGGGTAATAGCCTGTGCCTGTGATTAAAGTAAACATCTCAAAGCAATTCAAAAGCAGCATTTTAGAAGTATGTCATTTTGGGCAACCCTCACATCCTTGGGAAGAAAGAAATCTAACAGCATGGACGATGTCCGGAAGGGGGCAGCCTGGCTCTTGGGGTTACTGTGTCTGGTAGGTCTGAGCAGATCCCTCCTCCTGGTCTCAGTGATTCCCAGCAATGAGAAGGAGGGTGCGTTCCTGCCCTAACATCCCAGTTCCACGAAAGCTGGATTTTCTTCTGATTGTTGAAAACAGAGAACTCCTGATTGCTGTCACATCATTCATGTTTCTTGGTGTCCCTGAAGGGGACAGAGACATTTCTCCAGCTCTAGGTATTGATCCTTACCTGGGGATTGCCAGTCTTCCTGAGTTTCTGCTCCATGAGCTGATAGGATGTGTGTGTGATGAAGACGGGCAGGATAAAGTTGAAAAAGGCCATGGTGAAGAGGAAGCTGGTGAAGTTTCTGCAGGCAGAAAGGGTAGAGGAGTAAGGGTCATCCCTCACAAATCACCAGCTGCCTTCATATCAGCCTTTGCTCTGGACCGTCACATGTGGGGAACTGTTCCCATTAAATGAGTGCTCAGAGTGTGGGCACTCCTGGGTGCCAGCTGACTTCCCCTTGGAGCCAGGGAGCCACTGGGTCCCCCTAGAACTTGCCTTCAGGTGCAAGGGAGCTGAGATGAAGGAGAGTCCTCATTCAACTCACTATTGGGCAGTTCAAGTGCTCATCCCTGCTCTCTGTATGTGCCCCAAGTATGGAGAACGGGACACTTTCGTTTGGGAATGTGTTTACCAGATGGCGATGTCAGTGGACCGAGAGGAAGGAAGAAGCATTCAAGGAGTGTTCCTGGCACAGGTATTTGAAAGGGGCCTATGGATAACAAAGAGACTGGACATTGTGTCATTGAAGAAATTGTGGTCATGGGAGGTAGAAGGGCTGCCCCTTCATGAAGGGGATACCATGTCACCTTGGTGCTGTCCATTAAGGACGGTGGGAGGAAGGGATACCAGAATGACTGGACACAGGCTGGGGAAATACTTGCAGGGAGTGCCTTGGAAGGGCATTTGGCCTTGGGGGGGCATTTGGCCCAGACATAGGGTTCTTAAGTAGGTTTCACCTGAAAAGCCTGTCATGAGGGGCTGACGCTTCATGAGTAAATGAGAGTAAACATGTGAAGCAGATGAATAAAACATGGTCCTAGTGGAAGCAGGAGGGGGAGGAGGGCTGGAGCCCTGTGACCCCCTTCCCAAGGCATCCCCTAATGGGTATCCCTAAGCCCTGGTCTACCCCAAGCCCCATGGGTGGGGCAATACTATACTATTCACGTGCCCCATGATGGCGGGGCCATTATGCATTCACTCCTGTCTCTCCAGGGCTTGGCCCAGGGACTGGCTCACAG